CAAGTGGTAGAGCGCTAGCCTTGAGCTGAAGAGCTGAGGGACAGCGCCCAGGCCCAGAGTTCAGGCTCCATGACCAGACCCAAAAAAAAAAAAAAAAAAAAGAATAGGCAGAAATCAACAGATGAAGGGGTGACACTGATCAAGATGCGCTGTACTTATAAACTGACATGCTGAATTGAGACTTCTCTGTACAACTACTTAAAAATTAACAATAATAATGAGATTGGTATGGATTTCAGGAAGTAATGCAGGGAGGGACAATTGTACGTACCATCGCACATATTTGAGAAAAATAATGAGAGAATGATTTCCAGGGTAGTATAAAACTAACACTGCCAATGTAACACACACTCTTTTTTGTCCTGTTTGGATTTAAAGCAGTTTGGGTGTAGGAGTTCCAGGCAGTAGATAAGACATCTGCCCTGTTGTTTTACTATCTCAAGATTAAGATGGCTCTGTTTTCATCCAAGAATTTTATTTATTTATTTTTGGTCGGTCGTGGGGCCTGAATTCTGGGCCTACGCGCTGTCCCTCAGCTCTTCAGCTCAAGGCTAGCACTCTACCACTTGAGCCTCAGCCCCACTTCCATTTTTTTTCTGCTCATGTGGTGCTGAGGAATCGAACCCAGGGCCTCATGCATGCAAGGCAAGCACTCTACCATTGAGCTACAGCCCAGCCCCTCATCCAAGAATTTTTAAAAAGGAAAGAGTTACAAGCACTATGAGTGGAAATGAACGAAAAGGAAGGAGGCAGCAGAGAATCTAAGAGGTCGAGAGCACAAATTCTGGGTTTAAGACAGACAATGGAGAGCCAGACTCATTCCTGCAATTCTGGCTACTCAGGAGACTGAGATCTGAGGATCATAGTCAGAAGCCAGACCCAGGCAGGAAAGTCTGTGAGTCTTATTTCCAATTAACCACCAAAAAACCAAAAAAACAAACAAACAAAAAAATGAAAGTGGAGCTGTGGCTCAAGTGGTAGCCAACCTTCAGTGAAAAAAAGTCAAGCAGGAGTTTGAGGTCCTGAGGTCAAGCCCTAGTACTAAAAAACAGAGCAATACCAACAATAAGCAGATATTGGAAGCAGGGCTAGATTTTGCATCCATATGCTTGGGCAATCCGTTGACCCACGCTACAAGTCTGCTGTCATTTGTCAATGATGTGGTAACAGAACTCAGATGATGCTATGATGAGATTGAAATCAGCAAATACATGCCAGTGCACCTATAACCCCTGAGTGAGAACACAGGGCATGCCAGCAGACATCTGTCAATCATTATTAATTAGCTTCCTTCCCCACCTCAGTGCAAATAGCCAGGTACACTTTGATGTGACTCTCTTATGAGACCCTACTTTAGCTATAAAAGCAAGGAAGGTGAAGAGCCTGAAGAAGTTTTCATTGCAAAGTTTCTTTTCTGAAATTGCAGTTAACATGTCTTGAGGTAACAGGCGTAGAAAAAATATAATCAACGTGTTTAGTATGTGATAGTCTAACATCGGCTTCGTGTTACTACTTAAATAATAACACAAGTTATTACTAGAAGAAAATGGTTACTAGAAGAAAATGGAAATAGAAAAAAGGCTCTTACCTTTTGTTTTTCATTTGTACCCTTTTTATGTTTCTCCTTTCTACCTTCTTCTTCATACACCAAGACGAAGTCAATTCTTCGCTGTCCATCATTAAAAAAGAGAGAGTCTGCTTTTCCATTAAATTCTTCCTGTAGGGAATAAGATAACAAATTGTGAGATACGCCTTTAGAAACTTGACAATTTGGGTTTTTTCCCCTCTTTTGGGAAACAAGTACTGGGGCTTGAACTTAGGGCCCAAGCACTGTCCCTTAGCTTCGTCCAGTCAAGACTGATGCTCCAGCACTGGAGCCACAACTGTATTTCCAGCTCTTTGGTGGTTAGATATGAGTCTCATGAACTTTTCTGCCTGGGCTGGCTTCAAACCTCAATTCTCAGTGTAACTACGATTCTAGGCAGGAACCAGCAGCACACAGCTTTAGAAGTAGTCTCTAGTTTCAAGAACCACAAGGATGTGATCATAGAGAAAGCAAGATAGGTTCCTAATTGGATGCTTGATGATGCTGCAAGGCCTTTTCAAGCACAAGGTGTTCTTGGTGAAGTGTCTTTGATTCAGCTTTATCTTATGGTGTCTGGGGATGTATCTGCATTGTGCACAGAACACATTCATCCATCATTCCTTATTTATTTCCGACTCCAACAGCTAAAGGGGTGTCATGTTTGGATATGAGCACAGTGACATGAGAAGTTTATTTAGCAAGAAACCAGAAACCAGATGTATTTGATGAGAATCTCACCTTTCCTATATATTATTTTTTTAAGTTTTAAATCATTTTTCAATTACTTCCCTCTAGACCCTACCACTTTCTCTAGAGAAAGAACTATTTTGTAATCATAAACAAATATAAAAAAAAAGTTCCCACATATCCAAAAGACATACTGCTTTTTCTTAAATCCCCAATGTCCCCTCACCAATAGCAAATAAACTGAAGAAGTGTTTTGAAAAGTACCAACAATCACTAGGCACTTTTGGCTCACAGCTTTAATCCTAGATATTCAGGAGGCCGAGATCTGAAGACTATGGTACAAAGCCAGCAAGGGCAAGAAAGTTTATGACTCTTATCTCCAATTCATAGCCAAAAGGCCAGAAATGGCACTGTGGATCAAGTGGTAGAGTACCAGCCTTGATCAAAGAAGCTAAGGGACAGCATCCAGATTCTGATTTCAATCTTCAGTACTGGCAATGATTGCGTGTGCGTGTGTGCATGTGCGTGCGCGCACACACACACACACACATACACCTCCTTTTTTCTCATTAAAAATGGATTGAGAAAACTGAATTGAAGGGCTTTTGTCTAACTAAATATAAAATAAAAAAAAATAACAAGAAAACGATAGAGGAATGCACTCTAATTTTCTGACGAAACAGTTTGCACATTCTGCTCATTAAATGTGATTCTCTTCTGTATTCAGTGTCAATTGGAAAAAAGAAAAAAAAACACCCCATTTTACCACCACTCCACCACTTCCTCCTTTTCCTCACACTTTAGCTGAAATGGATTTCTTGCAAAACTTATCATGCTGATACTTATTATTTCTTTCCTGTCTCCCCATCCTAGGGTGCGGAGAGGCATGTCACCCGCCAAGCGAAGGGACCCTTGGCCTTACCCCAGTCTCAAGCACAGTGTACTGCTTCTCTCTGCCTTGAGAACCTGGAGTAAAAGACACATCAAGGTCTGAGACTGAGGCCATTATTCAGTTCTCTCATTTCTGATTTCAGTTATTGAAAAGTAATACGTTTCTCTTAAAAGGACTTACTATACTGGGCACCGGTGGCTCATACCTGTGATCCTAACTCTTCAGGAGGATGAGATCTGAGGATCAAGGTTCAAAGCCAGCTCAGGCAGAAAAGTCCGTGAGAGACTTTGATCTCCAATGAACCAGCAAAAAAGCCAGAAGTGGAGTTATGGCAGAGCATTAGCCTTGAGCAAAAGAGTAATTTAATACTTTAGAGGCATGCTCAGTCCTTTTTCCTTTCAGCGACAGAGTTCTGTTAGATACTTTTTCATTTATGCTGCCCTTACTGGGGCTTGAGCTCCGGCCTTAGGCGCTATCCCTTAGCTTCTTCTGCTCTAGGCTGGCACTCTTAAGTTCTGAAGCCATAGTTCCACTTCTGGCTTTTGGTGAATTAATTGGAGATAAGAGTCTCATGAACATCACTGGTTTCAAACCTCAATCTTCATATCTTCATCTTCTGAATAGTCAGGTTGCTAGCCACTGAGGCCAAGCTTCACTTTTTTTTTTTTTTTTTTTTTACATTATTCCTGGGTCTTAAACTCCGGGCCTGGGCACTGTCCCTGAGCCTCTTTGTGCTCAAGGCTATCACCCTACCAATTTGAGCCACAGCCCAATTTGAGCCACAGCCCCACAAAGCCACGTCCGGCTTTTTCTGAGTATATTATTGGAGATAAGAGTCTCATGGACTTTCCTCTTTCCTGCCCCAGCTGGCTTCAAATCATGATACTCAATCTCAGCCTCCTGAGTAACTAGGATTATAGGCATGAGCTACCAGTGCCTGGCTTTGGAACAAATAATTTACGGTTGGTGACACCCAGGGCAACTGCTAGAAGAAAACTATGTAGAAATGAGAGAATGGAATAAAGTCTCAGGAGAGCAAAAGGTAGGGTGGGACAGTCAGGAAAGCTTGGTGGTGATCGCAGGTATCTGAAAAGTATACCCAAAAAACAAACACATGTTTTCTCAGACTTCAGCAAGAGCATACCAGAATGAAGTTTGAAGCATGGAGACGGGCATGAGAACATGTGCACACAGTCCCACGCATTGCACTGAGGGGAGTGGAGACGCGCAGTCTGGCAGCTAAGCTCCCAGCATGCTAGTATGCCTTCTGTGTGTGCCAAGAACCAATGAGCTGGCAAGAGCAAGTCCTGGGAAGCAAGAAGCCATATTTGGATATGGTCCTGGGAGGAAGCGGTGGCCGGGGTGAGGGTGCCAGCCTTCTACTGCTGTGAAAACCAGCTTTCCCTTTCCTTGGCAGAAGCCATCCTACCAGGCAGGCAGGAAGATGGAGGAAGCTCTCCACTGGGCTGGAAAGCATATGTGAAAAAAGCAAAACAAAAACAACAGCAAAAGTGCTGGTCTAAAGACAATGACTCACTGAAGAACAAAAACACATTGTCAGACACTAATGGCTCATGATATAAATCCTAGCTAGTCAGGAGGCTGATATCTGAGGATCATGGTTCAAAGCTAACCTGGGCAGGAAAGTCCCTGAGATTCTTAGCTCCAATCAAGCACCCAAAATCCAGAAGTAGAGCCATCTTTGAGGGACAAAGCCCAGGTTTAAGTACCAGCGCGCGTGCTACGCGTACGTGCGCACACACACACACACACACACACACACACACACACACACACAAATAGAAATCAAGACTAACTCAAATGTCTTTTCTTTCTTACTAATGTTTCTAACATTGTTGCTTTGTATGTACCCACAGTATAATCCCTGTTTTCACTGTATTGGATGTTGGTATAATTTGTGGAGGGGAAGGGAAAAAACAAATTGTTTAAATAAGGACCCATTGCAACAATGAGATGTACAAGAAGTTATGTCAAAAAACGAACCTTACAACTTTGGCAGGGGGAGGGGGGCAGATGGGAAGAGGAAACAAAGGAGGAGGCAACAATGCTTAATAACAAATGTACTCATTACCTTGCCCATGTAATTGTAACCCCTCTGTATGGTATTTTCACAATTAAAAAAAAAAATCAAGACTAGAAGTCCAAATCATCAATGCCAAGCAGAATAGCAGGAGAAAAACCAAACTGTAGTCAGAAAAGAGAACAAAACTGAAAACATTAGACCTTCTATTTTTTTCAGTAAATCCTGAATTGACTTACATAAAACCTTCTAGGGGAGACAAGTTTAGAAGCAAAACCTTCTATGTAAATATTTAGCTCTCATAAAATATGGAGTTGGATTTTTATCTGCATTCCATGAAGTTAGCAAAGACATATATTCCTGTTTAGCCTAATTATGGCACAGTTTCGGTAGACATGAGGTATAAATAAAAGTGAATCTCCTTTTCCTTTATACAACCTGCAAAAACACTGCAGAAATCAAAGAAAGTTGGTTGCCCTTTATTCTTTTGATTTTGATCAGATTGCTATGAAAAAAAAAAACACCATCATTTCCAGCTTTGAGTGGTTAATTGAAGATAAACTTCTCATAGACTTTCCTTTCCAGGCTGACTTCGATCCTTGATTCTCAAATCTCAGACTCCTGAGGGGCTAGAAGTACTAATACGAGTCATTGAGGCCTGATTAATTTTTTTCCCTTAGGCTACAAAGACCTTTTATATTTTTTTCTGATAAGATTTATATTTAGCCAAGTAGTGATAGCTCATGCCTATAATTCTACCTACTCAGGAGGCTGAGATCTAAGGATCGTGGTTTAAAGCCAATCCAGGTAGGAAAGTCTATGAGTTTGGTTTTTTTTTTTTGGGGGGGGTGCTCAGTCATGGGGCCTGAACTCTGGGCCTGGGCACTGTCCCTCAGCTCTTCAGCTCAAGGCTAGCACTCTACCACTTGAGCCATAGCACCACTTCCGGCTTTTTCTTCTTATGTGGTGCTGAGGAATCAAACCCAGGGCCTCATGCATGCAAGGCAAGCGCTCTACCTCTGAACTACCTTCCCAGCCCCTTCTCTCAGTCTGAGATTCTTATCTCCAATTAACCACCAAAAAAAAAAAAAAAATCAGTAAAGTTGTGGCACAAGGTGCTAGAGTGCTAGCCTTGAGCAAAAAAGCTCAGGGACACAGACCAGGCCCTGAGTTTGAGCCCCGCAACTGGAAAAATAAAATTACATTCAGGACAAAATAAGTACCTTCCAGAGATGAGCTACTATTTTGGAGTACAGGCTCACACACACACACACACACACACACACACACACACACACACACACACACACACACACACATACACACTAACCAAAATGGTACCATACCATACGAACTGTTTCATAAACATCTATCATAGACATTTTCGAGCTTTACATAATCTGCATCATCATGTTTAATAGCTGCAATATAATTTAGCTAAACAGTTCCTCTACTGAGAAACTCAGAAGCGGCTTCCAATTTTCCGCTTTCATAAACACCACTGCGATGATT